ACAAGTTCTCTGTTCGTTAGTCACATCCTCAGGCCCCTCTTATATTTCTTTGGCTTTCCACTTTGAATTTTTATTCTTACAAAAAAATAGAAGATTTACTTTTATGCAGACTACTGCATTAGTGTAGAAATGGTATAAATAATATCAGCGCACTTGTGAAAGAATATTAGACTCACCAGTGGACGTGTATTGGACGCTTGGCATGATTTGTTTACTTTTGAACTTTGGTAAAAATCGAACATTTCTGCTACTTTGAGCTCAATTTCAAGGTACATTTCATTGTAAAACCATTCAAAATAATCTCAATTTCTGTAATATGTCTTCCATTCTATAAAATGAGACCAGGAAAACAAGAATACAACCATAAATACCATACAAAAATGCAGAGCAAAGTCGCTGTTTTAATCCAAAAACACGATCAAAGTTTTTTTTTCTCGTTACGCATTGTGTGCTGCAGGATTTTTTTTATACTGCACACACTGGCCACATAGGCCCATTCTTTCATATGTAGGCCTACCAGCTTTCTCTCACTAGATCTGAGGGCGCTAGAATTTAGGCGTACTAGTACGTCAAAACCCTGGGGCGTAAGCCGTACTAGTACTGCCGAAACCCTGAAAGGGTTAATAGAAACTGTGTATCATGCCAAGACAAAACAATTCTCATTGCTAAATTTATAAACTGTAATGCTTTAACCTGTCTTTATCCCTTTGACTGTCGCAAGCCCATTTCTGAAACTGTCATTCTATGTTGGAAAAAAAAAAAAAACTCATGAAATGAAAGAGAATCGTTTCCCAATGGTAACGACACCAAAAGTACGAAATTTGGACGAAAACTCACAGAATTACGCTCCCGCAAAGTTAGTGAACTCAGCGACATATACGCTGTATCAATATAGAGTTAGACTTATTATTAGTCTGCTCGAAATGCCTAGTCATGTTAGGCATGATAGTGGCCCTCTTTGTAATTAGCATTTGTAATCAATATTTTATAATATGTAAACCCCACATTGTAATCTTTACAGAGAAATAAACATTTGTATTTGTATAATAGAGTCACATTTAAGCATTTTGTCCTGTCTCCAAACAATAAACTTGCCTCTCTCTCCGCTCCTCGTTGTTTTGCATACACCAACAAGACTCTTCAATAAAGGTAAAAGTTATTTAAATGTTCATTTATCCATTTCATTAGTCATTTTATTTAGTTCTCTCATTGTTTTGTGTATGTAAAACTATTGTTAATCTTCAAAAAAATGTATTTTTGGTTAATATTTTTGGGTGTCTGAAATGGATTAATTGGATTTACATTAATTCTTATGGGAAATATTATTTCAGCTTTTGGCCATTTCGGTTTTAGGCCGACTTTCTGGAACGAATTGCAGCCGATATCCAAGGGTCCACTGTATATATAAGCAAACAATAGCAGACAGGCAATTTTAACAATGCAAGACTAACCACTGGGAAGGGAGGGAAATCTTCAGCTCAAGTACTTTCACACTTCTCGGTGCACCATGAAGAGCTATGCAATGCTGCAAGGCAGCAACTGAAGGATTGAGGGGAAGTTTTTTGCCAAACAGGTAAAACTGGTCAATCAGCAAGAACTCATTATAAATAAGTCCTGTCTAAAAATTTCTTTACATGTTTAAAGATATATTTTTTCATTTATGTTAATGTAAAAATTGATAATTTTGTATCAAAAGAACCTTAGAAAACTTGCCTAACCTTATTATAACAGGTGCAATTTAATTTAGCCTACTCCAACTAAATATGTTTTAGATAAGTTTATAATACAGGTCCTCCATCATAAATCCGGCATCATTGGGACATGTAGTGTGCCGGATTACTGAGTTTGCCGAATTACAGAGTGGTTAGGTTAGAATACACTTAATAAAATTAACCAACTTGACTTACACAGTTCATTGAACATCGGCAAAAATTGAACATTTCCGCTACTTTGAGCTCAATTTCAAGGTACTTTTCGTCATGAAAGCAATCAAAATCATGTCTATTTCTGTAATATATCTTCCATTCTATCAAATGAGTCCAAAAAATGAGAATACAACCATAAAAACCATACGAAAATATACTGCAAAGAGGCGGCTAATGGCTGAGAAGTGAACTCCCTTGTTTATCATCCGTCTTTTTTATTTTTGTTGCACGTTAAGAAGCATCTTTCCATCATACATTGCCCAAGTTTCAAGGGAGATAGCCCAACAAACAACCGAGAAAAACAAATATTTACCAAAAATCATATATGGCAAACCCAAGCCAGGTACTGGAAATAAGTCACTTTGTCTGACTTTTTTGGGTTATCCTAGGTTCTCTATACATACACTGCTATGTATGTATAATCTATGTAACTGTATTTGTGTATACCTGAATAAACTTATTTACTTCTAGTCTGTAAATGAGTACAAGAAACCGCCCATTCACTTATTTCAACTACCCCAAAAAAGTGGTCAGGGAAAATTTGGCAATTTGGCCCGATTTCACACAAATTTCAACAGATGCCAATTTCAAAATAGGACCCAGAAAAACAATGCAGACATTCCTGGCACTAAAATAACATTTTCTCTGTTCATTAGTCATGGCTACAGGCCCCTCTTATATTACTCTTGCTTACCATTTGGAATTTTTATTCACAAAAAAAAAAAAAAAAAATAGAAGATTTACTGTTATGCAGCCTGCTGCATTATTGTAATAATTGTATAAATAATGTCAATCCATTCTTGACTCTGTACTGGAATTTGGACTGGCAGGCGGACAGGTATTGGACGGTGACGTCATTTGTTTACTCTTGAGCTTCGCTAAAGAATAGAACATTTTCGCTACTGTGAGTGCAATTTCAAGGTACTTTTCGTCATGAAAGCAATCAAAAATCATATCTATTTCTGTAATATTTTTTTCATTCTATCAAATGAGGCCGAAAAAATGAGAATATAACCATAACAACCATACAAAAATATACCGCTAAGCGGCCGCTAATGGCTGAGAAGTGAACTCCGCTATTTATGGTCTGATTTCTTTCATTTTTGGTGTAAATGAAGAAGTATCTTTCCATCATACATTGCCCAAGTTTGAATAAGATAACCCAACAAACAATTGAGGAAATAATAATAATATAATAATAATAATAATAATAATAATAATAATAATAATAATAATAATAATATCTTTATTTACTACACCTACATGTACAAGGTATACAGGCCTAGCTGACATCAGTGACATACTACTGTATAGAAAGGCACTTTTTATGCTGAGTATTTCATGAAATTAGGTCAGTGTCCCAGGATAACACCAACACTAGTCGACTAACACCCAGGTACCCATTTACTGATGGGTAAACATAGACAACAGGTATAAAGAAACACACCTGTTTCTACCCTGGCTGGGAATCGAATATTTACCAAAAATCATATATGGCTAACCCAAGCCAGGTACTAAAAAAAGCCATGTTGACTTTTTTTGGGACACGGGAGGAGGAAGAATTAGGATTAGGGCAATTGCAGCGGGCATATATAGAACGGTTTGCAGAAACAAACTTATTTACGGGGGACAGTGGAGGACACGTTTTCCGGAGACCATCCTAGGTTCTCTACACATATACTGCTATGTGTGATAATCTATAGAGAGAAAATAACTTTTTTGTTTCATGTTTATGGTGGAGTACGAGTGTATATCATAGTTAGCCTGTGCTATACTCCGTTTTCTCTAATATAAGCCACCAAGATAAGGATAGGAGAATGGTATTTGTTTACCATAACCTCTTCATAACTCTGTCGAACTGCTCGGTGTTATGCCAAATATTATTCATTCTGGAGTATTTAACACGTTTTGTTATTTATATTGTTTCTTATGTCATATTAGATCAACTGTGATAGGCAAATAAGCTGTAGTGTTGATATTAGCGTAATAATAAAGCATATTCTCCCGCTTCACAAGACTCAGCTCACAGCAACCGACAGTGGCTTCAAAGCCACCTTATCTTTAATGGATAATGTACTGTGCAGGTGTTTTACATAATGAGAAGCATTTCTTTTATTCATTGGAACCATGGCTAGGGCTAAAAGTAAGCAGGTTAAAACAATAAATGGAGAAAAAGAAATTGGAATGGCTTATGCAGCAAGTAGCGCCACCAAACAGTACCAGCAGGTTGGTGTGGCGACCCTGGAAATTTGAAATTATGTTAGCCAAAATTAGTGCCGAATAACTGAAGGAACCGAATAACTGATTGCTGGATTTGTGATGGTGGACCTGTAATTTAATAATAAACAAACACAATGAAATATATTTTTTTTTGTCAGGTTCAGAATGATTTTTGCGAGACTGCATACACAAATTTTTGCTAGTCTTATTCGGCTATTTAAGCCAAAATTGCAAGTTTTACCTATTTAGCATGATTATATACATTTTATAAAATATATATATATATATATATATATATATATATATATATATATATATTTTATATATATATATATATAATATATATATATATATATATATATATATATATATATATATTTATTTATTTATTTATAATATTTATTTCTACAAGTACATGTACAAGGTATACAGGCCTAGCAGACATCAATGACATACTAATATGTAGAAAGCCCTTTGTTATGGTAAGCAATTTGGGCAAATTAGATCAATTTTGTCCCCAAAATGTGACCCACACCAGTTGACTAACACCAAGGAACCTATTTTACTGATAGGTGAACATGGACTGCAGGTGCCTTAAGGAAACACGTCCTAATGTTTCCACCTGTACTGGAAATTGATCCTTGGACCTTAGTGCGAGAGCTGATACACTAGCAATCAAGCTACAGGACATACATACATATCTACATATAGTAAATAATTTATGTTTATGTCAATATTTTTAACACACTGGCTGTCTTCCAAAGAGGTAGGGTGACCCACAAAGTGGTTATTACCATACCATTTTCGTTACTGAAAGCTATCTATACCTCAAGCATCTATTCATGAGCAAAATACCTCGGAAATATGCAGCAGTGAGAGACTGGATAGCTCGGTCTGGTAAGAAGGAGGCGGCTAACCGAAACATTGAATCAACATGTCATTCACACACTGTAATAAAAAAAAATTGTATATAGAATAATGAATATACTACTACTATTGCACTTTAAACAATTAAAAATTTTAATTATATACTGTAGTGTATTCTCCAGTATCTAAATTTGCAATATAGGAGTTGTACAGTGGACCCCCGAGGTTTGTGAGCCTCGTGCTTCATGAATTTCGACTTTCGGCAACTTTTTTCGTCAAAATGTAGCCTAGCGTTTTGTGATTTGCCTTGTCATTTGTCGGTCATACGGAACATGTCCAAGCGGCATCCCAGCATCCCCGCATGCACAAAGGCACCCCACACACCATTCAGAGTCAAGTGTGCCATTGTTTCTGGGCGAGTGACTATCACCTCACATGTTCATGAGATACATTTTGTAATACGTATCCCATTCTTTTTTGTGCCTGCAACTACTAAATAAGCCATCATGGGCCCAAAGAAAGATCCTAGTGCCAGGCCTTTGGTAAAGAAGGCGAGAACACGAATGTGAACGTGGAGTGCGTGTGGCTGACCTCAGCAGGATGTACGTGTAGCCCCTTCAACAATCAAATGATCACTTCCATCGTGGCGAAGAAAAAGAAAATCAAGGAAGCTGTTGTTGTGAAAGGGGTAGATAGGCTGACAAAAAAAAGACTGCAAATAATTGAAGATGTTGAGAATTTGTTGTTGGTGTGGATCAACCAAAAACAGTTAGCAGGAGATAGTGTTATACAGTCGATAATCTGTGAAAAGGCAAAGCAGTTGCATGCTGATCTTGTAAAGAAAATGCCTGGAATGAGTGCTGATGTTAACGAATTTAAGGCCAGGAAAGGCTGGTTTGAGAGATTTAAGAAGTGTAGTGACATACACTGTGGTAAGGCATGGCGAGGTTGCAAGTTCTGACAAACGAGTGGTTGAAAAATTCGTGCACAAATTCAAGGTGTACATAGTGGATAAAAGAGTCCTGCCCCAACAAGTGTTCAATTGTTATGAAACGGGCCTCTTTTGGAAGAAAATGCCAATGAGGACCTACATCAAGCAGAAGGAAACAGCACTGCCAGGACAAGCCTATGAAAGATAGGCTAACCCGCTTGTTCTATGGCAATGCTAGTGGGGATTTCAAAGTGAAGCCTTTAACCCTTTGACTGTTTCCGACGTATAAATACGTCTTACGAGCCAATGTTTCTGACGTATTTATACGCATAAATTCTAGCAGCTTCAAATCAAGCAGGAGAAAGCTGCTAGGCCCACATGTGAGAGAATGGGTCTCCATGATCAGTGTGCACCATATAAAAAAAATCGGGGAGCCAGTGGTGCATTGTGGGAATGCCATTTCAGTTGTCATTTTTCAGCATGTCTAGTGGTAAGAAATATGTGATTCCCCAGCAAATCTGGGACTCTTCTCTTCCCAAGTGATGCTCTAACACAGATGGAAGTGTCAGTGAAGATCAATTTCATGATTTGGAGGAGTTTGAGACCAAAAGCAATGGAGGAGGAGGAGGGGGAGGAGGGGAGGAGAGAGGAGAGAGGAGGAGGGAAGGAAGAGGAGGAGGAGGAGGAGGAGGAGGAGGAGGAGGAGAAGAGGAGGAGGAGGAGGAAGAAGAGATGTAATAATATTGTTCCCTTGAAGCAAGAAAAAAAAAAGTCCACCCCATGACAGTGACAAGATAAGGGAGATAACAATCTGATAAGAGCTGACTTTGATGAGCGTAAAGGAGGTAATATTACATGACCATCGCCTCCTTTGTTTTGCTGGTACCAAAACATTTCTGTCTGTCTATTTGTCTGTCTGTCAAGCTCCCTGTCTGTCCATCTAGCTCTTTGTCTCAGAGAGAGCCACAAGACTGTGTCATCAGTTTACTCACATCTTCAAGCAGAGTATAGCACTTTGTCTGGATTTCTTGGGTTATCCTAGGTAATTTACACTATGTATACTTGTATTTATGTGTACCTGTGAGACAGAGATAGGCAGACAGAAAGAGAGACAGATTGAAGATATAGAATGAGGGAAAAGATAATTAGATAGAATGGAGGAGGGGAAGCAGCATCCGACCCCATTGTTTTGACAGGGGTAGGGGTAGTGACTAATGAGATAATATGTCACTTTGACAGCTGCCGACTTCTGACTCAAAACAATTATAAGCCACACACTCGCACACAAGGAGGAGGAGGAGAAGGAGGAGAAGGGAGGAAGGAGGAAGAGGAGAAGAAGAGGAGAAGAAGGAGGAGAAGAAGGAGAGAAGGAGGAGGAGAAGAAGGAAAGAAGAAGAGGAGGAGAAGAAGAGAGAAGAAGAGAGAAGAAGAGGAGAAGAAGAAGAAAGAAGAAGAGAAGAAGAAGGAGAAGAAGAAGGAGGAAGAAGAAGAAGAAAGAAGAAGAAGAGAGAAGAAGAAGGAGAAGAAGAGAAGGAGAAGGAAGAAGAAGAAGGAGAAGAAGAAGGAAGAAGAAGAAGAAGAAGGAGAAGAAGAAGGAGAAGAAGAAGAAGAAGAAGAAGAAGAAGGAAGAAGAAGAGAGAAAGAAGAAGAGAAGAAGAAGAAGGAGAAGAAGAAGAAGGAGAAGAAAAGAAGGAGAAGAAGAAGAAGGAGAAGAAGAAAGAAGGAGAAGAAGAAGAAGAAGGAGAAGAAGAAGAAGAAGGAGAGAAGAAGAAGAAGGAGAAGAAGAAGAAGAAGGAGAGAAGAAGAAGAAGGAGAAGAAGAAAAAGGGAAGAAGGAAGAGAAGAAGAGAAGGAGAAGAAAGAAGAAGAAGGAGAAGAAGAAGAAGAAGGAGAAGAAGAAGAAGAAGGAGAAGAAGAAGAAGAAGGAGAAGAAGAAGAAGAAGGAGAGAAGAAGAAGAAGGAGAAGAAGAAGAAGAAGGAGAAGAAGAAGAAGAAGGAGAAGAAGAAGAAGAAGGAGAAGAAGAAGAAGAAGGAGAAGAAGAAGAAGAAGGAGAAGAAGAAGAAGAAGGAGAAGAAGAAGAAGAAGGAGAAGAAGAAGAAGAAGGAGGAGAAGAAGAAGAAGGAGAAGAAGAAGAAGAAGGAGAAGAAGAAGAAGAAGGAGAAGAAGAAGAAGAGAGGAGAAGAAGAAGAAGGAAGAAGAAGAAGAAGAAGAAGAAGAAGAAGAAGAAGAAGAAGAAGAAGAAGAGAAAAGAAGAAGAAGAAGAAGAAGAAGAAGAAGAAGAAGAAGAAGAAGGAAGAAGAAGAAGAAGAAGAAGAAGAAGAAGAAGGAGAAGAAGAAGAAGAAGAAGAAGAAGAAGAAGAAGAAGAAGAAGAAGAAGAAGAAGAAGAAGAAGAAGAAGAAGAATTGTTTGTTTGTTTGTTTGTTTGTGTAAACAAGTTTTGTAAACAATATATTGATAATTATGTTTGTGTGCTTATTGTGTTGTATACAACGAGTGTATATATATACATTGCACCTTACTTTGGTCTCATAGGCCACATAAGTTATGTGAAAAAATAAAATAGTGAAAAAAACAACAAACCTTCAAATACAAGTAAACTAAAGTTTACCGGGTGAGCGGCAGTCGCCGCTGTTGCCATACGCGGCTCATTTTCTGCAAACTTCACGGCTCTATATCTCGGTAAGTACCAATGGCAAAAATTTTTTTTTTGGACTAAAACACTCAGAAAAATAATCTTAACATTTTCATAAGAAAAAATAATTTTTTTTTTTTTGAATATTTGGCGACATAGAATGACAGTTTCAGAGAGGGGCCTGAAACAGTCAAAGGGTTAATGGTGTATCACTCTGAAAATACCAGTGTTCAAGAAAAACAGTGTTGCCAAGAGTAAACTGTGTGTGATGTGGAAGGCTAACAGTAAGGCATGGTTCACAAGAGAAATTTTCCTTGACTGGTTCAATGAAGTGTTTGGCCTGAATGTGAATGAATACCTCATGGAAAAAATTGCCATTGCCTTCTGGTAATGGACAATGCACCTGCTCATCCTCCAGACTTGGATGACCAAATGGTGGAGGAGTTTAATTTCATCTTAGTGAAGTTCTTGCCCCCTAATACCAATTCTCTCATCCAGCCCATGGACCAACAGATAATTTCAAACTTCAAAAAACTGTACACCAAAGCAATGTTTCAAAGGTGCTTTGATGTGACCTCAGACACTGAATTGACCCTAAGAGAGTTCTGGAAGGATCACTTCAATATCCTCAATTGCATAAGCCTTAGAGATAAGGCTTGGGAGGGAGTGACTTCCAGGACTTTGAACTCTGCTTGGAGAAAATTGTGGCCAGAATGTGTCCTCAACAAGGATTTTGAAGAGTTTGAGGCTGACCCTGTCGACCCTACACCTGTTGTGGAATCTATTGTGACATTGGGGAATTCCATGGGGTTGGATGCGAGTGACGAGGATGTGGAAGAGTTGGAGGAGAACCACAACGAAGAGCTAACCACTGAAGAGTTGCGAGAGCTTCATCTGCAACAGCAACAGACCACAGCTGAGGAAATAGCTTCAGAGGAGGAGGAAGAGAGATGGAAGAAGGTGCCTTCTTCAAAGATTAACCCTTTGACTGTTGCAAGCCCCTTTCTGAAACTGTCATTCTATGTTGGAAAAAAAAAAAAAAAATTCTTATGAAATGATAGAGAATCTTTCCCCGATGGTAATGACACCAAAAGGACGAAATTTGATCGATAACTTACAGAATTATGCTCCCGCAAAGTTAGCGATCTCAATGATACATACGCATCGGTGATTTCCCTGACTGAGCCCTATTTTCAGCTAATTCCATTGTTACAGTCGACCAAACTCATAGCAATTTCTTTAGAACTCCATTTTTTCTATTAATTCAGTACAAGAAACTGCCCATTTACTAATTTTAACTACCCAATAAAGTGGTCAGAAATTGGCATTTTGACCAATTTTATGCAAATTAAAAAAGATGCCAATTTCAAAATAGGGTCCAGAATAAACAATGCAGACATTCTTGGCACTAAAATAACATATCTTATGTTCATTAGTCACGTCTCCAGGCCCCTTTTATATTACTCTTGCTTTCTATTTTGATTTTTTATTCATACAAAAAACAGAAGATTTACTGT